TGATTGCTGAATACACTGTAGTAGTAGATTTCCGGTATCAATAAAAGTTTCTTCTACGTTTAGTAAAACATTTTCGTTATCATGGCCATTGCAATTTGTTTAAGCCCTTGACTATGGGCGCGCAGTCTCACAGACTGCTTGTAATTTCCATGATTACCAACTTCCCCGACCCCTCTGAATGTCAAATAATAATAATTGTTGTAATAATGATAAATCGTTTTTATTCGTCATTCAAGGTAACTTAAAAAAATAGAATCAGTGTAATGAAAAAATGATGAAAGGTGTAGGCTGAACTAGTCTAAGCTGCTTTTCAACTAAATCCATAAAAATAACATTCATACAAAATATAGTATATAAAAAATAATATACAATACAAAATAAAACATATGAAAACATCTCCAATACTATTTTTTATAATTTTTTTTTTTATATATGGAAGCAGCCGCGCAGGCAGTAGCCTAAATTCCGGAACACCGCGGCTGCTATGATGATCCCAAATAAATTTTATTAATACGATTTTTGAACTGCCTAAGGTTAATAGAACTGGGAAAAGCTTCCTCTTATAGATTGTTCCACAATCTCGACACCCTCGGGACAAAGGAGCGGTCGTATCGGCCGGTTCTGGATGTACGAAGTTCGACACGGTTAGGATGGGACGCCAAAGTTAGGCGGGTCTGTCTGGCAGGCACATCGCGCGACGGCATCATGGAAGAGAGCTCTGAGGAGCAAAGCCCGTTTTTGTAGCGGTAGAAAAAAGCTAGACCGTCGACGGCCCGCCGGTGCGAAAGTGTCCCGAGACTGTCTGTTAGAGAAGAGTCATCGATCAGACGGACCGCCCTCCTCTGGACAGCATCGAGCATGGATAATGTAGTCGGGGCGGCAGCACCCCAAACGTGCGAGCTCTACTCGAGGCTAGGCCTTATCTGGGCCTTGTATAGAGTGAGAAGGTCATGCGGAGAAAAGTACTTCTTAGCCCTAAACAAATAGCCTAGCTTTTTTCCAGCAGCTGCAGCTATTGACGAGATGTGTTCGTGCCATATCAGGTCCTCGGTGATCTGGACTCCGACCAGCCGAAATGAACGGTTCTTTGGTAGAACTCGACCGTCCATCGAAACAGGGTGAGCGCAGGGACGCTTTTTGTTCGTCAAAGTACAGTACTACGTTTTGGAAGCATTGAACTGTACAAGATTGTTGCGTACCCAAGCAGTGATAGCCTCTAGGTATCTTGTCAGAGAGGAAGTCAGTGAAGCTGTGGATTGGGTTAATCGTGCAGGAAAGGAGGTCATTGATATGTAAGAGAAACGGTGTCGGAGCCAAGACCGATCCCTGGGGAACACCCGCGTTGATGTTGTGGGATGAAGAGGAGAACCCGTCAATTACGATGGATATCTTGCGGCCAGAGATAAAGTCAGCCACCCATCTGCAAAGCTTTTCTGGGAGGCCATAGGATGAAAGTTTTCTTAAGAGGGCAGCGTGCCACAGCTGATCGAACGCTTTCGTGATGTCAAGAGCAACGACATGAGCCGCGACGTTCGAGGTAGTCCAGAAGCTCGCGATTTATGCACCTTACTTAAAACTGAAAGGAGAGCTATAGGCCTGTAGTTGTAAGGGTCGGTCTTAGATCCCTTTTTTGGGATGGGTTGGACATGATCAAATTTCCAGTTTTCTGGGAAGGTGCCGGATTCATAAGATATCTGGAAGAGACGCGAAAGAACTGGAGCAAGCTCCGGTGCACACCTTTTCAGTACAATGGCAGGAATCAAGTCCGGACCAGAAGCTTTGTTGATGTCGAGCGACAAGAGCACTCGTCTTACGGTCTTATGCCTGAATGTTACCTCCCGCATAGTATAGGGAACCCTTTGAATTGACGGCACTTGGGTGTTGCGGGGGACATCCATGGTGGAGTTGGCAGCAAAGATCTTGGCTAGTAATTCCGCATTGGCCTTTGAGTTGAATACAATAGTTCCATCCTGACACGTAAGTGGTGGAAGGCTACTATGTGAGAAGTTATTTTCAATCTGCTTGGCCAGCGTCCAGAAAGAGCGACTGCCATTGCGCTGCGACATTACCCTGTGCCTAACTTTTATATAATGCTGGTTTTTGGCATTGCGAACCGCTGCTTTATATTTGTTTCTGGACTCAACGTCGGCTTGTCTGCTCTCTGCAGTGGGGTTTTGTAAGAAGGTTCTGTGTGCCTTGATCTTCTGCTGACGAGCAGCGTCACACGATTTGTTAAACCAGCGGTTGGACCCTGGTCTAGGCACTTTCACTGTGTGAGGGATGTATTCCTCCATTCCGACGTGGATAATTTCGATTATCGAAAAACAGACAGCCGACGCATCCGTGGTCTGAGTTACCCAGGGCGGACAGGACAGCAGTGCTGTAAGGGGCAGGATGCGTGGTCAGAAAGAGATCCAGCAGGCTACTGGCGTGTGACGAGACGCGGGGAAAAAAAGTGGGAGTCGTAACAGCTGAGTCAGCCCTTGGGTAAGAGCGAACGCTTCGACTGCACGACCTGCTGCGTCGGTCTTGTTTGAGCCCAACCAAAGCCCGTTATGGGCATTGAAATCACCGAGAAGAACTACCTCTGAAGCGGGATGATTGATGTTCAGGAAGTCGATCTGGCGAGGTATTCGAGTAGGTCATCCCAGTTATGGTCCGAGGGAGAGCGATAAAGCAAATAAACTTGGGTGATGTTTTGGAGTTGAGGCGAAGCCACAGAATGTCCTTCCGGTCTGATTCCAAAGAAACATCTCTGGAGCAGGAAAGACTGCTGCGGAAATGCACAATACATGCAAAAAGAGCAAGACGACTTAAAAAGAAACATTCTTTAAAACGTAGTGAGCTTTAGTTATATCATAGACCTTTGTTCGTGCACCTTGATTAAATATATCATATAAAATGTGTACGTCTAACAGAAGTAATTATCATATGAAAATATAAGAATTTCACCATTAGTTTGACTGCGAAATTTAGCGGTTCGTGAGTCTACCGCCGTCTATAGAAGTGTGACAAAAAAGAACATCCGTAGTTAAAGATTAATACCAGATGCCGCAGGTGCCTCTTTAATGTTTCTGCCCATCACTTAGAATAACAACCAATCCCTACCGATAGATCTACGTATATTCTGTTGTAATAGCACCCCTGTCCTTGAAGGTAGGAAATTTCGGATCAAAATTAATAAGTTCTTGTCGACAGTACGGCCCATTAGGGTCGGCGTCCCTCAGGGTTCGGTTCTAGGGTTGGCCCTTTACTCACTTTTCACGCATGATGTCCCTTGCCCTAACGACTATGAAGTCTATCTATATGCTGATGACACTGCACTGGTGGCCCAGTCGCGTACCGGGAATCTGGTTCACGACAGGTTACAAAGTGGGGTGGATGAGGTATTGGAATGGGCAGATCGGTGGCTAATCAAAATTAATTATCCGAAAATGCAGGCTATCTATTTTACCTACCAAAAAACGTAGCGGTGCCCCGCCTGAGGTTTCAGTGAATGAAGCTCGCATACCATGGGGAAATTCTGCTAAGTATCTCGGTGTCACTCTTGACAGAGAGATGTCCTGGCAGAATGACACTGAAGCGTTAAAAACTAAATTTCAAATTACGTTTCGGCAACTCTACCGTCTACTATGTAGAACCTCTAAATTAAGTTTGGTTAACAAAGTTCGGTTAGTTATCAGACCAACAATCACTTACGCATCTGCAGCATGGTGTTTTCTTGCCAAAACGCATATGCGTAATCTGCAGGTTTTGCAGAACAGAATTTTGCGAACCATCACTAACGAACCATGGTATGTCTCCAACGAGACCCTTCACAGAGACCTCGACATCCCTTACCTAAAGGATTACATCCAAAATCAGACGCAGTTACGTTATAGTCAAGCGGAGTCGCACAGCAACCCTCTGTTGCGTGAGTCAGTAGACTACACAGTCGAGCAAGTTCCCAAGCACACAAGACCGCGGCTCGCACTGTGATCAAAATCAAATCGCGCAATTCTATATCCAATCAAAATTACGATTTTTGTCACACACAAATTCCTAAATTAATTTTAGGATTAATTTAAATCAACCGAATACCAGTTAACAATAGCAAGGCGCACTTCACCCTCTTTGCTCTTCCCTCTTCCTTCCTATCTTTCTTCTCCCTTTCTTTCTCTCTGACTACGTCTGGTATCTGGGCAACCTGACGTGACAGACCTACTGACCTACGATACTTTAACAAAGAGTGAAGGTCCCACGGACCGCTCTGACGGACAATGACGGTTAGAAGCACCCCTGTTTTCTGATGATAAACGTCAGGTGAAATAAGACGTTCTTTCTCTTGCTTGTCAGAACACTTTCCATATGCAGTATCTGCAACGATAAATGGAGGGCTTAATAACACAAAATGTCTTATCTTCCTCTCAGCTTTCTTTGGATCTCCTTTTAGATCGTCCCATCTCCTTTTAAACTGTCAAAGCTCCTTGGAAATAATTGGATATCCTAAAATTGCGCTTGATGTTTTAATATATTTTCTAGCCCAATCGGATGAAGTAAAATTGCCAACCATGATACAGATACAGAAATTGGTTCTAATGTCATTGGATCGCCTGGGATTTTATTCGATTGCCTCAAACGTGCTTGGATTGCCGTGGATCCTTAGATACCACTGTATGAAATTTCATCCAGATCTGATCAGCGATTTATAATATTAGTAGGGATTATCTCTGTGTGCTGAGTTTTCTCGAAGTAAGCATAAAATAGCTTAAGTTGTAACATAAAAGAAACTGTACCAGTCATGTTTATGTAAAAATGGGTGAAAAGCTTTGGTATTCGTAAGTTCTGGTTCACCCTGATTATTAACAAGATTTTCTAATGATCATTTTTTCTATTCCATGTCTTGTTAGTGTGCGGGGCTTTCCCAAAACAAACAAAAAAAGGGAAAAAGAGCAAATTAGTTATAACGTGTTTTACATATAGACAACCTTGCGCTGATACTCGGTATGGTGGGAGACTGTGAAAAAGCCAAAGAACGTTTGAAAACATTAAGAAGTGGTTTGATCGCGTCCCGCGATCTTTCGCGCTGTTCACTTGTTTTTTTTTTCACGTCACACACACCGTCACTGATTGGTAAAGTAGACTGAAATCGGGTGGATACGGTGACTTTACTAGTGGTACGGTGGTGTTTCGGCAAAATTTGTGTGAAATTTTTGTGGATTCTGTGACTGTTCCAAAGGATAACCACTTCTTCTGGTGAGTCAATTCGTATGGCAACGTTTAGCAATTGAGAAACCTACTGTTTAGATAGAAAAATGATGCGGTAAAATAGTGTACTCATTTTTTCTGTCTTACATTCCTCAATCAATGAGAATTTATTTATTTTTTGACATTTTTCTTATACACTGATTGGTAAAGTAGGTTGAAATCGGGTGGCGTCAATTAGTGTTGAGGTTGGTGTTTCTGTTAATATTTGTGGATGTTGTGTCTGTTACAAAAAATAAGCATTACTTTTGAATGAAGTAATGTTTTGCAACTGGATATAGACAAAAATTTAAGAAATGTATGGCGCTGTAGTGCTTGGACAATAGGCATTTGAATGCCTGATTAGACAGGGTGTTAATAAAGTACATGTAGCTTCAGTAGAGTTATTCTAATGAGAAAAATCTAGTTTACTTTTGTCTAATTTGTTCAAGTAAATCGTTTTTATTTGTTTTTAAACATGTCTCTATTCACCTAAGCTGGAACTTAAATTTTAGTCGCGACTTCAAATATATTATTGGATTTGAAATTCTGAATGCTATCAGATGACATGGATTTCCATACAAACACTACTAGCGCTAGAAAAAACTGCCAAAAGCATAAACAGTGTACTAACCTTATCGCCTACAACTTATCCAAAATTGAGACAAGCTCCAGCAAAATAGTTATATCTGCAGTGCCCGTCAAAAAATCGGAACTTCCACATTCCTCGCCATAATCCAAAATCCATATGTAAACAAGAGTATAATCTTCCTCTTAAAAGCTCAGAATAAGTTTTTGTTAGAATCAGGAAATTCTATCTTTACCGGTAACGAGGCGATATTTAAATGAAAACTGGATGTGAATGTTCTGCTTAGACTAATAATTTGAATAATATTAATAACGATTTACAAGTAAGCTCCTGAGATGGGGCCCTAAAAAGGTAATCCGCTCGATCGAATATGAACATGTAGACTCCTCCGCTTGGAAATATTATTTTGCCCAGCTTTGGAGAGCTTTGCCTTACCATATAGTTAGGTTGGAAACCCTCCAAAGGTGATTGAAAATCTTGGGCAAAATCACGTAATTCATCCTTTGTGTATGCAGTGTATTGCCTAACAAGTATTTAGTATTATTTGTTTATTTACCGATTCTCCCCCACAGTTGTCTAACATAGAGAAGCAAGACACATAAACTGAATGCCCTCGATTATTCAAACTTGCAGGTTTCTTCTGCACCAGCTGCTTTGTCAAGCTATCAGATTTAACCTCAGTGGTGCGAGGAATAAAATACATTGACAAGAAACACCTCCAATTAACGCGCTTCCGTCTTTCCCTTTTTCTTCCTGATACTGGCTGGTGTCTATGGGTGTGTTCTCGCATGTACGAATGGTGAATGTCTCATGCAAACTCATAAAGAGCCTTCCATATTGTTATAGTCTGTCCAAGAATGTATCTTTTGTTGCCCACTCTGTATACACGTGTAGTTTCTTTGCATGCTAGAGTGACGCTTGGGCTGAGCCTGTTTTCAAGGTCACCATTTTTTACTCGTTTCTTAGCAATTCTCAAGGTTTTAGTTAAGTATATACCACCATAAAGACTCTTTGTGAACCGGTAACACCTGCAACATCTAACTCAGAATGATGCTTAATCCAATAAAAAATTGCGCTAGAAATTAAACTATTCTTGATGGCACATTTGATGATAAAGGTACGGAAGGAGGATAAAATTCGTTAAAAATATTTCTGAGATAGACTGTACCCGTTAGTCAATCGTTACTGCTATTAAGCAAAATACCTACCCCACATTCTGAAAAAGAAAAATTCATTTTAGAATCTATTTCGATTGAGGAATTAATCCTGCAACCTGTTCTGAAAATAAAGAAACTAACGTATACAATGTACAATCTTACTATAATCTTATGACGTGATTCCACATTATTGTTTCAAATCTGCTCTTACACCAAACAGATTATAATTAAGCGCATTTATATTGAATAACAGTAGTTAGTCATGGCACATTTCTTTACTTTGATATAAGTTGCAACTTGGCTATCAGCTTAAGGCGCAACACCTGTGGACCGATTTACGCTGTCCAAGCGCGCTCTTTCTATACAGGTAATCATACGTGCCCTGTAAGCAAAGAAATGATGAACATCACTTATGCGGTTAATACGTTTTCTTGGTATAAGAATAACCTACAATTCCTTGTAGAAAGAGCCTTACTTCTTCAAATGAAAATCATTAGGTCTTTAGGAAATGAAAATCGCATGTTAAAGAGCCATTTCACAAACTCCCCAATTCAAGAAAACTGCTAGCTGCTCTTCATCCAAAAGCACTATTGTTAGTGTGCACAGACCCAGCCCAAAGTCAAGTACAAACTCTGCGGTCTTGAACTTGACACCGTCGGTGTGTCGTCGACGAAATCAATTCGATTTATAAATTACGTAAAACGTATTCGGTAGAACGGACGCTGTGGGCGATTTACTTATGTAATAGTCGTAATTCTTCTCGTAAAATGTATTTTATTGACTGTCATCAACACCCAGCAGTGAATATATGATCAAAGGAATTTTTAAAATCCCACATCCACATCATCAACTTTCAAGACCTGGCACCCTCCGACTATCACCTAATTTTCTCGTTATAAGATTTTCTGTATGGTAAAAAGTTCAAAAGCTGGGGCATCTAATGAGCACTGGTTCAATTTTTTGGGCCTAGATATGAGATGTTTCATAAAAAGTGATATACAGATAGCCATAACGTTAGCAAGAGGTTAAAAATTAATGATGGATTGTTCGTTAAAGTTTATCCAAAACATGAGAAAACCCAATTCTGTTTTGACTTAAAAAGTGGCACAACTTTCCGAAAGTTACCATTTCGATCCTCATGTATAAGTATAGTTCATACGCGTGATCCTGAAGTTCATACCCGACAGATACTGTTTTTTTTTTTCAATTTGGTTCACCTTTCCTTCAATCGGTAACACTCTGTTATTAAATTCATGAATGGAAGAAGCCTAATGAAAATGGATATCTACGTTTATGACCTTGAGACAAAAAACACACAAATGTGGGTGGGTCCTGCGGTAGTTTTTACAAGGTGGACCGGAGACTCTCTGGCATAAGAAACTACCATTCTTATGATTGTACTCACGTAGATAATCTACAATGCTCGTGAATGTAACATAATTATAGTCTCGTGAACGGAATTAATCAAGTTGAAAAATGAATAAATAATTGTCGATGTGATAATCGCAAACAGAAGGTGTTATTCAGTTATTAGTAATAGATCCGGAACAGAATGAGCAAACAAAAAGCAGTAGTAGATGACTTAATTGCTTCAATTCGTCTTATCTTCTTAGATTCACAGTTTTCAAACAAGTATAAGTAACCTACCTATGTAAAGCATCTCGTTGGTAATTCAAATTGAAATAATATCTTCATTTTCTGCGGTTCGGCGGACATTGTAATTTTATGCGTAACTTTGTCAAAAATACTATTTTTCGTGGGAAGTTTTTTTTATTTTACACGATTAAAAAGGAAGATATGATATTCCATCCTCATAAGTTTGAAAATTTTGCTTACACGTCTTGTTGGTGTGGACATAGGAGACGTTAGCATTTCAAAATTATCACTGGCGTACATGTATGATATTCCTGTTAATGCAGAACAACCTTATGTACCTTAATAGGCTCTACTCACGATCATTCGTATTTATAAAAATGTTCTGCATGAAATTGTTTTACTTGAACATGAACTTACATTACTTCTACATTGTAAGATCGATGCTCCAATCTACAGTTTGCTGTAAATAGCCCAGTTATGTACTACGGCATGTTCAGGTCGTAGCTTTAAATGGTTTGTAAATTTCATGTGCAAGAATTACTTGTTCTAATGTGCCACATTGTAGTATTTGGAATAATTGTACTCGTAAAGAGATGAACAGTGCAGTTCTGCAACCTCTATCCGCTAGACCCGTAGGTGGAACACAATGTCGCAATTATTATGCCAACACAAGGAGCGTGAGAATGATTGGTTTCAATATAGAGCTGGGTCAAATCATTGTGTTTCTATCCCATGTTTTCTTTGATTCCTTCACGATTCCTGCACTGCTTGGATTTCAATGAAATTTTAACACGATTTTAATACTATCACAAGGTCAAAAAAGCTTTACGGTTTCTGAAAATTGCCAACGACGGCAGAGAAAAGGCAAAATCGAAAAAATAAAAATCGCTGTAACTTCTTGTTCTGACGTTTCAGAGGGTCAGGATCATTCTTGAAAGATATTTTATGGGTAAGAAATGGGAAGGTGGAGGTGGGGCATGGTATATTTCAATTTTCTATGTTAGTATATATACGAGCCCCTTCCCACTTCAGTTGGCCCACTTCAAGATTTGTACGAAAATATGCCTTTACAAACTAAACATGACGATACTATTTACTTCTAAAACAATTTATTTTCTCAAAAACATTTGAGATACATTCTAGTCGTAAAAGATACATATTTGGAATCACTTAGACCTATAACTAATAGAACATCTGAACAAATAAACAATGTGCGAATCAATCCGCGAAGTTAACAAAGCAACAATTGAAAGATTACCATTGGGTAACATCACCTTTATTTTTTATTACGGCTGAAATTCTTTGGGGCATAGTGTTAACCAAGTTTTGGCAAAAATTTGGTGTAAAACAATCCCATATTTCTTGAAGCTTTTGTCTCAGTTCGGTGATTGTACGAGCAGGATGTTGTCGTAGAACCTTTTTCATTTCGTGCCACAAACTTTCAATAGGTGACAGATCTGGACTGCTAGAAACCTGCTCCCATCCATTTTATAGCCTTTTTTGAGGTACGGCACGCTGCATCATCTTGCTGAAACACAAAATCTTGGCCGGATGTCAAACATTCTTCCATCACTGGTAAAAGCGATTCTTCTAAAATTGCCAAATATTTATTTGTATCCACATTTCCAACAATAGAATGACGTTTTCCTTCTCCTTTTGGAGATATACTG